AATTTGCACTATTTCTGGCAGTCTGCAAAGGCCCTTAGTTTGGGCACTTTAGCCCCTAAAAGGTTTGCCATCACTGGTCTATATCATTCTTGCTCTTTGCTATGCATTTGATTTACCTGTCACCTCCAGCCATTGTGCAGTATATCACTCCAGCTTTAAGGTATGCTTGTTGTATCTTACCCTATGAGCTCCTCCACCTGTCTGATTGGCTGATTGTTCATGTTCCCTTCACTCTCCTGTCTTGCATCTGACAGGTTTGACTTCCCATCCTAGAAGCCTCCTCTGAAAGGCATAGAATCAGAGTTGGAAGTGACCACAATGACCACCCAGTCCAACTCCCTGACATACAGGAAGACACAATCAAATCATGGATCACAATATTTTGTTGTGTGCCTTCATGTCATTTCTGACTTATGGCATCCCTGAGGTGAACCTATCTTTCTTGGCAAGATTTGTTCAGAGCGGGTGTCCTGCTGCAAAGGCAAAGAATTAGGCAATGATAGAGCGACGCTGCTTAATGCAGCAGTTAGTGCAATGACAAAGGCAGAGAAAGGAAGAGGCAGAGAGCCATACTTGATGTAATTAGGAGCTGCCAGTATCTTGCAGTGAAGAATCCGGTGGCTTTTGGTCTTGCGTTGAAGTATGCCTATATAAATGAAGCCCTCCAGTCTTCTGCAACATGTAAAGACACTTGGCAGATGCACAAGGATTTCTTGTCAGGCAACTTGATGTGAAAACTGAATATCCTGAAGGTAGGAGGCTCAGAAAGCTCTGATATATAAGGAATGTGGCCGAGGGATGACCAGGTTAACACAGATGCAATTCTTTCTGCCTGCAAGACTGTACCTTGTGCTAGGCATGACTCGTCTTGTGATATACTATTTTGAACAGTTTCTCAGGAGGGATTGCTGGGAAGCAAACAAGGACAAAAGGGTACTGTGAGGACACAAACAGACACCATCTACTCAGGACACTTGCATGAGACACACAGTTGGACAAGATGTAAAATGTGCAGAGCAGAATATGACAGGTTGTGAATCATTTCCCTTCCATAACAATAACAACAACAACAACAACAACAAAGATCCAGATTTAGCAATTTTGATTGTGAGGACACAGAACAAGCAACCAGTAGTGACTGGTGGCTTCAATGTGAGTGTGGGTGAGGAATCTACTCCAGTGTTTGGAGCAGCTAGCCAAGTTTTTGAACACTATCCTCACAAGCAGCTCCAGCATCTGGGATTCTACATTTAAAATTTGAATGAAAGCCCATACTACATCCACTACTCCACAAATATGGAAACCACTATTGCAAGCAGAAACTTTGGATCCAAGTTGGACTGTGGGCTACATGTGTAGGGAATGTGAGATTTCACATCTAGCATTCACTTTCAACTTTAGGGTGTGCCATATAAATATGGGGGTGAGCAGTGAAATATAGAGGCTGGAATCCTCTTATTGTCTTATTCATGTGTGAGTTCCACTCCAGAAGGAGTTGGACATTTTAGAGAGCATCTACACTGTAGAAATAATGCAGCTTGACACCACTTGTAGTGCTATAGCTCTCTTGGATGGAATCCCAGGGTTTCTAGTTTTATAAGGTCTTTAGCCTTTGCCAAAGTGTGTTGGTGCATTACAAAACTACAACTCCTAGGATTTGGTAGGATGGAGCTGTGGCAGTTAAAGTGGTATCAAACTGCTTTATTTCTACAGTGTAGATATAACCTTAGTCCAATACGAAATATCGTCTGTCAATTTAAGGTCTTGGATTTCTGCATGGTGAGACACACATGGACACACATGCAGGTGTATATTTGTTTGTGCATTTAATTGTGCATTGAGGTGCACATTCAGTTGAGCAGTCCTGCAGTTCCACACAAGGATAGCACCACACAGTCAGTGTGCAATTTGACATATTGCATATTGACTGTGTGGCGCTACCCTTGTGTGGAACTGCAGGACTGCTCAACTACTCAGTCCTGAAGTAGTATCTGAGCCTTCATCTTGAGATCTGGTGGAGATCTCCTATGTGCTCCTCAAATGGAAGCAATTCATTGTGGGAGGATGTGGGAGAGGGCCTTCTCAGCCATGACAGCCCAATTGTGCCCACTTGGTCTGATTGATACTGATGCTCACTTCATTCTGGCACCAAGTAAAAAGTAGCCTTTGGAGCTTAATTGGATTCTTCCCAAATATGCATGGTTTTAAGCTGTTTTAACCTTTTGAATTATTTACTATGCTTTTAGTCTACTTAAATTATTTTTATTGTTTTAAATTTTAAATGATTTTAAACTGCTTAAATTTATTTCATTTTGTATGCAGCCCTGAGATCCTGAGATATTACATTTGAATATAAACACTTTAATAGATGGATAGCTAGAACTAAGGGAGCTTTTTCTTGTATAGAGGTATACAAGACTTTGTTCTTTATGGTTCAGTTCTATGCATGACTACTTGAAAGCAGGGCACATTGTGACTGGTGTAACATGGTTTGCATGGTACATTGGCCCTTGGTATTTGCTGGGGTTCATTTCCAGGACCCCCTGTGGATATGAAATCTGTGGACGCTCAATTCCCATTATATACAACGCAGTAGTAAAATGATTTCCCTTATGTAGAATGGCAGAATCAAGCTTTGCTTTTTGGATTCAACGCCCCCCCCCCCAAATATTTTCAAGCTGTGGATGAGAAATCCATGGATATGGAAGGCCAACTGTATTCTTAATCATGCAGTATTTTGGTTGCCCTTCTAGATCAAGATGGCCAAAGTGTGCAACACTGCAATTTTTGCAGTTTTTGTGTCTTTTAGGGTAGTGTGATAGCCTTGTCATTATATTCTGAGGCTCTCGCACCTGCCTTGTTTTAGAGCCACGAGGGCTTTTTTTCAGAACTGGACATGACGGTAGAATCATAACACTTTCACATTTGTATCATTTGGAATCTATATCTATATCTATATCTATATCTATATCTATATCTATATCTATATCTATATCTATATCTATATCTATATCTATATCTATATCTTCCTGATCTCCAGAGTCATAGTCCAACATTCAAACCACTATACTACACTGGCTCTCTGTAGCTACTGGGGCTGGGGGCAAATTAATAGTTTTTTTCAATTTGTATTTTTCTGCCTCTCCCTGCGGATCGAGGTGGGCTTGTTGTTGCTGTTAACTGCTTTCGAATTGATCCTGACTCATGGTGACCTTGTGGATAAGACATTTCTAAGGCTCCCTATCTTCCACTGCTCTGCTTAGGTCCTGTATATTGATGCCCATGACCTCCTTAATAGAGTCCATCCATATAGCATGTGACCTTTCTCTCTTTCTACATCTCTCCACTTTTCCTAGCATTTTTGTGTTTTCCAGTAAATTGTGCCTTCTCATGATGTGCCCAAAGTATTACAACCTCAACTTTATCATCTTGGCTTTCAGGGAGATTTCAGGCTTGATCTGTTTTAGGATCCATTAGTTTGTCTTTTTGGCTGTCCATGGGATCCTCAGCACTCTTCTCCAGCACCATGTCTCAAATGAATTGATTTTCCTCTTATCCACTTTCTTCACTGTCCAGCTCTTGCATCTGTACATGGTAACAGAGACTACAGTGGCTTGTACGATTCTAACTTTCATGCTCCATTGTGGGCATTGCCTCTCAATAAAAACTCCTTCATATAAAATTATTCTTCAACCTCTCAATTTCAGTCATTGAAGTAACTTTAGATTACAGTGGATCACTGAGAAAGACTTTGAATGGTTAAGCAGGAGGTTTCTCATTTAGATTTATGTTGTATCTGGTTTTTT